ATGGTTCGAGCCAAATTCCGAAGCAACCTTCCTGCTAAGGCTATTGGACACAGAATCCGTGTGATGCTGTACCCCTCAAGGATTTAAAATAATGAAATGTAAATGAATAAAAATGGATTTGTGTTGAAAAAAAAAAAGAAAAATGCGTATTATGAAAAAACTCATAGGTTTCAAAAATATTTATCGCACCAAAATAAACCTGTCCTTTGTGTCACGTTTTCGATGAACATTTTGGAGTCCCTCTGTATGTACAGCAAAGGTATGTGGCACCATCTAGGCCCAGGTAATGAGGCCAGCCAGGTACAGGTGAGAGTTGGGAAGGCCAGGGCCAGGGCAGGGCCTGGGGAAGTAGAGGCAGGTAGACACATTTTGGAGGTGATACAGACCCTATGGAAGAAAGAGTAGCTGAGGAAGACTCACGCCCAGATGTTGGCTCCCTGGCTATGTGAGGTTGGGCAATTTACTATAAACTTCTTGATTTTTTAAAAATAATTATTTTATCTAACTTTATTTATTTTAATTTGACCAGAGGACAGAGGGAGAGAGATAGAGACAGAGAGGGAAAGTGAGAAAGCAACTTGGCAGGTCTGGGACTTGAACTGCATTCGAGCATGTGGGAGTCCAGCGCCCTTAACCACCATGCCACCTGCTGGTACAATTTACTAAACCTCTCTGAGTCTCAGTCTCCTCATATGTAAATAGGGACCAAAACCTTTAAAAGGTTGTAGAGAGGATTCAATGAGGGAGAAAAAACGCACACAGTAAGAAAGGAACAGGTGGTGTTGTGGTTAAAGCCCTGGAATCCCACATGGCCAAACACAGTTCAAGTCCTTGACGTGGAGTCTTGAAAATCACAACAAATACAGAACCAGCAGTTAGCGTAATGGCTATGTCGCTGGACTCCCATGTAGTTGACCGCGGTTCAAGTCCTGGCCCCAGTAGCTTAAACTCATGCTGGGCGTGTGTGTGTGCATGCCCAAGATCCTGAGAGAAGGGATTGTGGTATGGCCACCCCCCCCCAGGGGGATTTCTTGCTTTCTGTCTCTCTGTCTCTCTTTCTGGCGAGCTTACATACCCTTTAGCAGAAACCTCTTTAAAAAGAAAGAAAGAAAATCACAACAAATAAACAAATACATGTTAAAAAAAAAGACTTGGGCCTGCAGGTGGCAACAACCTCTCCAAAAAATAAAAAAGAGTGCTACACTTTCTACACTTTCAGTATGGTGGACCGCAGTTTGAGCCCTGGACCTGGCAGTTTGTTTTGTCACTTTCCGCCTCTCTCTCTGTCCCTCTCTGGTCAAATTTAAATAAACAAACAAATAAAGTTAAATAGAATAATTCTTAAAAAGACTTAAGGAACACAAGAAAACCACACACATACACAGTAAGAGCTCAGTAAATATTAGCTGTTACTATCCCCATGATAATTAGTCCTATAATTACCATTATTTAATCACTCAACAAATATTTGTTGAGCACCTATTATGTATTTTGAATCCTGAGGGTACAGTAACAATATCAGTATGGGCCCAACATTTAAGAAGCTGAAGTGAGAGTGAGATGAGAGTATAGAAAAAGATGAAAAACTAGTAAATTTGCATGAAAATTCCAGATGGTGATATATTATCTACAGATCCAAAGACCCAGAGGAGTGAGACAGTAACTAGAGGTAGTTTCCGCAGGAGTTAGGGAGGGCACCCGCCAGGAGTCAGCATGGGAGGGGAAACAGGTAAAGGGTAATAAGCTGCTGGGGTCAACTTTGGAGAGGCGAGGTTTCCTGGGAGGCACCTGGTCCTACCTCTCTCTTGGCCCAGCCGTGGGGGCTGAGCCTCCTCAGGGACCCCTTCCGGAGGTCCAGCAGGTGACACAGGCCGGCTGGGCTGGGGGGTGCCCCCAGGGCTGGGCTCAGTGCCCTTTTGCAAGGAGCCTTCCGAATGGAAACTCTGGTTGCTGTTCTCATCTGCGGGAACAAATGCCGAGAGTATTGGCCTGAGGCTTCCAGGACCCTCCTTCTATCCCCACAGCACCCCAGATTCCAGGATCCCTACATACCATTGAGATCCAGCAGGATGAGAGGGCCACCCCCTCTGGGACTGGCGCCCCTGCCCCGCCGCTCCCGGCCACGGGATCTCTCTGTCCCGCCACCTGCCCGCCGCCGCTCCTGCGGATTAGAGAGCCAAGGGTCAGAGCCCACTTTCTAATTAGCTCTTACAAAACCCACACATAAGGAAACAGGCACAGAGAAGCCAAAGGCCCTGTCTGAGGTGACAAGAGATTGTGCACACCGAACTCTGGTTTGGAGCAGGGAAGGGGAGGGGCTACCAATAATCGTTAACATCTGTCTGGGCTGCTGCATTTGAGGTCTCAGAGGGGGGACTGGAAACAGAGGCCAAGGTGGGGAGGGGCTTCACTGAGGTTGCACAGATGCAGGGCCTTGGGGACGCTTGCTCACCTCCTCCTGGGGGTCCACCACTGGCACCCACTTGAAGATACGAAGGGAAGTGTCGCCCACAGTCACCCAGCGCTTTTCCCTGTGGGAGGGTGTGGGGCTGGGTCAGAGAGACCTGAGAGGAGAACCCCCCCACCAGGAGCTGGGCACATCTGCGGGTACCTGTAGAAGTATGGGGGGGGTGAGCGAGGCTAGGGACAATTTTGCCCATGGAGCATAGTGGGGAGAAAGAGCCCTGCAAACCCCGGGGGAAAGACAGGGTTACCTTTAGAGAGAGGGTATGACGGGGCCAGGACTCTGCAGACCCCTGGAGCATGCACGGGGTAGGGGGGTTGGGGCGCGGCCAAGAAGATCCCAGGGCTTACTTGCAGGAGGAGTGTCAAAGCCTTAGGGGGCGGGGCCTAGATGAGAGCTCCGGGCTCTGGGAGGGCACCGCAGGGGGCTACGCTTTGTAGACCCCAGGGAGGAACCGGGGAAGGGGGACAGAGCCCTGCCACAGCTAGTTGGCAGGGACACATCTAACACCTGGAGGCCACAGCTGGGGAGGAGAGAAGCATTTAGGGCTGGTGGCCCCGCCATGTCCCGTCCCTGGCCCCGGGGCAGCGCTCACCATCTCCGGACCTTCTCGATGGTCGCCATCACCTTCTTGATGTCATCCTTGGCCCGGCTCCGGGTCTCGGCCCGTACAGTCCGGCCGGCCATGCTCGCGGGGCTGGGACCGGGGCCGAGCCCGCGGCGGGGCCGCCCCCCCGCCCGCGGGCCCAGCGC